CAGATGCATTAGTGAGCGTAGATCAGTATCAGAACCTGAATATCTCAGGAAGCATCCCATAACCTATTGCCCTTAGGCATCTTTTCAGAGAGAGTACCAACCATGAGAGATGCTGAGTGATCATTTCACAACCAAATTACCCAGTGATAAAAGTAACCCATTTGCAATCAACTGGAGCAGAAGAATGCCATCATTACAAAGTGAATTAAAAAGCAACAATAAAATCTAAATTCTTTATGAAGTGTCTGTAACGCTTCATATATGCTACTACAAAACTAATCAGCTACCGTCACGTTTGCCTCTTATCAATGAACGGTTTAACCAGCAAAAGCATAGTTGAAGCGCCGCAATTTGAATCCCACTAGGAACTGCAATACGTCAATAATTTACTGGTCAGAGACATCTCAAAACATCAATTTTTTCCACTTACGATGGTCCGTTTATCCCCGAATGGGCCGGCATACGCAGAATTCAGAAGTGGAGTTCAAAATATGAATAAATTTTCCACTAGAAATACCTGCGCATAAATCATTTTGTTGTTCGTTTGAATTATACTTAATTTACTCACGCTCAACATTGATTGCCTAGCAATGAATGCAAACAACAAATGGCTAACTTTAAATAATTTTCATTCTTGAAAAACACATCCAAATGTAGATTAACAGAACTGAAAATCACAAAACCCATGATCAATAAGAGACATAGCCAGTTTATTGATTTACGGAAGTTGAAGAGAAGGATTTTCAAACACCCGTGATTGGCTGAAAAAATGAATAACTCTAATCAAGAAGTTGAACAATTAGTGAGCTTGTTTATCGCTAACTTGTTGTTCAAATCTGACTGGATTCAAATAATAAAAGGTTTCCTACACGACGTGAACTGATTATGTTTATGACTTGAACAATCAATACAAATTGGTGTGATGATCGCATCTCCCTCGTTGAATTGTGCACTTGAAACTAATTACACTGAACTCCTCTTGTGTAAATTCACCTTGTAATCATCCCACTGACCTCACGAATTAGTCTGTATCCGTCTGTTAGGTTGTTGCTTAGTTATATATTCTTGTTTGAAACATCTCAGATTTATATTACTTTCGTTATAATGATTTACTATGTTTAAAAAACATTTCTAACTCTACATGAATATGATTCCCCCGAACTTTCCCGGAGTGATGACGGAAATTGACAGAATGTCTTACTTTCAACAGTAGAAACCTCAAGATTTGCTGCCTGATGATTTAGCAAGTCAGCTACGATACACAACATGCAACCAAATTTGCATTTGTCTTCAAGTTTTACCAATTATCCCTGCATGATACACATAAGCTAGTTGCCAACTAGATTTCACCTACCAGAGGTACAATGTTGTACCTCAGGCTTATTTGATTTAGTAGAGCTGTTAAGTGGTTAATATCCAGAGAACAGTTTACAACTGTCAAGAGTATGTAACACAGTTGATTAATTTCTCACCCTCCGTTATTATTAGCGGTTTAGTCACACTTTGGTATCATTGCAATTTTAATTTTTTTGATATAAGCTATAGCTATATAGCTAAGGTAACGAAATGTACTACTGAACAACTTCAGCAGTATATTTTGTTAGTTCATGACGCTTTTGTGTTAGAGATCATACGCTGTGAGCTTATTTGGGTGGAAACCCTGCTGACACAATTATGCAGTTGAAAGACTACTCGACTGTGAGAAATGTCAGTGTAGACCGTGAAAATTGTAAGTTATGTGCAAACTGACCATCCTATTTCAAGCTATGAGTTCCACTAGTTGTTTAATGGCTTTTGATACTTCTCACTTGTTTACGATAACGTGAGTGAATTCCGACTCTTGGCCCACTGAAAGTTTAGCGGTTAAGTCAATGAGCCATGTATCTATTTTAGCATAGCTCACAGCTGTATACTTCAGGGATAAATATCATCAGGAACTCATTTCAACTTCGAAAGCCCAAGGTGGTCTAGGAAGACTTTGAATACGAACTTTTTGATGAATACTAATGAAGACGAGTCCCAAGGATTGCGATTATCAGTTAATATAAGGGGGAAATGTCCACACTTCTTCCATAATAAGTTTGATTTTGTAAGTGCTAAGCAAAATATTGGTAAAGTTACCTTAGTACGATTACCGATAATTGAGCCCTGAACTCTATCTAGTAAATAATACCGTTTCACTTTGACACATGTAACAAATAAACGCATACTGCACATACCAGCCACCGCTTATATAGACGTCTCATGCTGGAAGTTGCAAGAGAGTTCAGAGTCGCTAGACCATAACCTGCCACCAGTCGATGAAGTTTCTTACTGTTGGTCTGAGGCGTCTTGGTTGGGATCTCCAAGACGAAAAGAATCAGTGGTTGAGGACCCTTAGTGACGTCTGAAAATCGGTCACTATGGCACAGACGTATCCACTTCTTGACATATTCTAAAGCTTGAATATTTGCACTAGCCTTTATCTTCAGATTGCTTATTCTCTCACACTGCTTTGATATCACTCCTCCTACCCACCTGTTCTATGTGCCCTACTGTGAAGTAAGGTAATTTAAGCCGATGTACCCATGTGCGTGGTTCTACGTTGTTGTCAGTCATCAATGCTCACAATTTTCTCATGAATTCATTGGTAAATTAAAGTTAGTGATAACTAAGACGTAAGGTATCCTTAATGTGTCCAATTTATTGTTTCGGATTATCTATCCTACTAGTAACCTTTTTGGCCGTTTCTTAACCAAGCTCACTTTACTGAAATAGGGTGAGATGATTTGAAGTCCAAGTAGTAATCTAAATGGGAATATTTCCTACAGACACTAGTATCTAAACTTTTGTCTGATGCTGGTATTCAGCATCGTTAACGGCTCATCATCACTTTCTAATTTACAGGTAGACTTGATTACATCTACTGATGAATTTATGTTTGGACAACCTATAAATGCGCTCCGATTTCAGTTCCTTGAATATGTCATTTACATACGCAGACCATAGCCGTAGGACTGGACGCTTCGAGGGCTTCTGTTCCCAACTGCTCTTAAATTTGTCTGCAACGGTGGGAAATATTGGTGATGCAATGGGAACGCGATCCATGTGTTTGTATATCGTCAGCTGGATGCGGCAAAGATAGCTGAAATAACAACCTAAGTGCCAAAACGTTATTCACTAGGCAACTGAAATACAATAAGTTCTTCTCTTTCATCCTACATGGCGTGCTAAGACTTCGAATCTAATAGCTTGCCACCATATATGTGACCGACTATGGTTCCTGTTTTTTGATGAAAGTGGCCACTGTATCAGTTTGAAACCAAATGATTTTACCAACTGATATCATATGTAAGCTTAAACTATAGTCATCAATATGACAAGTAATTAGACATGTTATATTGATCATCTCAGGTGAACCAACAAATATTACTGATACAGAATTGAGCGGTCAACAATTTCAGATACAGACAAATACTCACCGTTGTCAAACCTTTTCTGATCGTAAGAAATTTTGATCGTCTACCAAATGAGGTTAACTCGCTATGATTGTCTATCACTAATCATTTTCTTACACTATCTGTTTTCTCAAAATACCACTTTGTTCTTGTTCATATAAAAGCAAGGAAACTGATGACTGAGGGTGCAATAGACATCTGGGCCCCTACAGGATTAACACCATTGGCCTCCGGACTAAACGCTCTACTAGCTCAGCTGGGTGGAAGAGGTAAGTAGTAAAATGACTACAGTTGCACATGAATCCGGTTGCGTAGAAAAAGGTAGTGACATGTATCCCAGGTCTCTGATAATTTCTATTATACAACTTCCAACCATTAATTCCTGCCGTTTCCCTAGACACCTGAATTGAGCACCCAAATAGCATTATCATCAGTCGAACGTACTTTGTTGGTCGGTTAAACTGAGAATAGAACTCTGTTCCTATTTCATAGTCGGCGCGTCATGATAATTTTTCTCTTAGGTTGTCTTTTACTACTCTATGATAACACAGACGATAGTTGTTAAGGATTCAATCGAGAAGTAAAACTTCAGCATCAGTGTTCAGTGCATCATAGACACAGACAAAGGACAATCTTAATGACACAAACTATTCGAATCTGGGCTGCCCGAATGCGTTAAATTCCAGAACACCGAGTGATGGCTTTACTAAGAAAATCTTGAATACGCCAGGCTAATATCAAGCTGTCATAAATGTTGGAGTGAATCGATCGCTATTATTTAACCGAAAATTGGTTTGCATAAACTCGAAATAAGCTTGGATGAGTCAGTGGTCTGTTTATCAAGAACATCCAACTAGTAACTGAGAATAGCTCATGTTGTCGACTCAAATACCTCAGCCACCTATTTCAGTCTAAAAACAAAAAGCGAGCTCCAGATGCGCCTGGTTTGTGTTACAAGAGTTGTTTCAGTAGTTTAAACATTGAAAAACTCTCTTCTTAAGTGCAAAGAAAAACCTTTCCAATATTTTATACTTGCTTATATTCTTTCACGTAAGCCTGAATTAACCTGGATATACTTGGAAACTAACGGTGCAACCCAATACGGTACTAGACAATAATTCAAACTTTATGTGACGACTGCTCGAGTGACCAAACTGAAATGAATAAGGAACTGAGTCTCAGACCAACCGCGTGAAAATCGAGTGTCTAGCCTCATGCTTGACATCTTTATTACCTAGTTTCACTTTTGCAAAGAAGTATCGGGCTGCCTTTTTATTCCAAATCACGTCAACATAATTTTCGACAGTAAGCTTACATATCAATAATCTTAGATGTTACCCCAAGGAAAGCAATGTGCATAGGCCAGGCATCATTCCGTAGGCATATCAGAATTGAAGTCGAGAAAAGCTGACAAACTGTTCTATATTGAATAATCTTTGCACAATTCTGGCTGACGTGAAATACAAATACTGACTCCAGCTCGATAAATCATACAAATACCCAGAGGATAAACGGAACAGTGAATATATTTAACGAGAAAATGAATATTAATATCGTCACCGACTACTTTTCTTCACCCTTTGGAGAAGCAGTAATATTATCCCTTTCATCTACAGGAAAAAAGTTATACTAAAAGGAACGCTCACCTTCACATGTACTTGAAGTCCAAAGTGTAAGATTATCCCGCAAAAGCTGCATAATGATGGTTGAGTCTTTATAACTCTCTTCAGATAATGTATCCAGTTCGGCGATAGCCAAGTCGAAAGCAGTCTTTGCTAGTTGACAAGCCCTATCTCGGTTGTTGAGAATCTCATAATAAAACACAGAGAAGTTTAGAGCAAGACCCAATCGAATTGGATGGGTACAAGCTAGTTCGTTAGCGATTTGTGTAGCTTCTTTGTATGCAACAAGACTACTTTCTGCAGCAGCCTTTCTTTCGTCGCCAACTGAAAACTCGGCCCTATACCGATGATAATCACCTTTCCTAAGGAGAAAATACGCGATGACTGAAAATAATTTACATCTTGTGCAGGAAAACTAGTGACTCTTTCGATGTAGCTTTCGGTAACAAATATTCATCCAGCAGGTTTAAAATACTTGTACATATTTCGTTCAATTCCTTTTCAACGTTACTTTGACAAAGCTTGATTATTTCCAGGTTAACAGATCCTTTGGCCTCCTCCTTAGATTCAATAGAATTAAGTATTCGCCAGGAGGATCTGCGAGCTCCAATAACATTTTTGAAGGCAACAGAAAGGAGATTTCGTTCTTCAACTGTCAGTTCACCTTCACTCATCTTGGCTACTTCAATCATAGCTTTAACCATCTCTGGAAAATTAAACAAAAGCGAGTACTTTAATATACATATAGACAATTGGTTTGATATCTACGCAGTAATGCCTAGTATTGTTGATCAACGGACTTGCATATAAATAACTGTCAAAACACCATCTTACAGAATGTGACTTTTGCTTGACTAAAGCCTGATATGAATTGCATAGCGAAATAAGCAGACAGTGACAGACAGCCTGGAAGTGTACGGGCAGTTGACGCTTCCCGTCGATCCACACCGTGCAAGGAAGCAAATAATACGGTTAAAAACAACCAAATACGGTAGTTAGGTATCAGGTTGGGCACCATGTATCTGGTGTACATAACCCTACATTACTACTGTAGAGCCTTGGATAAGTGCCTGTTTCAAGTACTACATCTTGTAACAGCTCAGGTAAAAAGGGCGATAACAAGATAACCTCAAAGTAGAGAAAATGGATAGAAAACAACCTAAGTAGATGCATAATTCATTATGTGGCCACGACTAGTTCTTCGTCCCAGTCAAAAACAAACATGTACATCTAAGGCACTAGTTTATTAGAGGTTACTATATCAGCAACAGTCTCCACTTGCACTTAAACTACAACTATATCAGTACAACTAGTTGGAAGATATTCACTTCAACAGTACCCAGTGAAAACAAAACAGTATCATACACGTTATAGTCTACTGCGGTTTATTAGTTCCTAAAACAATCCGGATAATCGCTTAAGAACCTGTAGAGACTTTTACACAACACACGCAATATAAACTCAGTAAGAGAACATACGTAAATCGTAAGACAGAAAATCCTACTAGCTCAAAGCAAAATATAACCAAGTTAAAAGGGTGGGGAAGGATTTGGAAGCATGGCAAGCAGACGAAACTATATATCCAAGTAACAATTTTCGGTCTTGCAAATCTGATTCTCAAGATCATTTAGGCGTTAATCACCAAGTGCATGTGAAAACACTGCATACTATAAATGACAGAAGACCAAGGGTAGGAAATGTGAGGAAACTAAGTAGGTTTTAGATCCGGTGGTCCACTGGTTCGAGTCCCATCCCACCTATCAAGGTTTAGGCAGCCAGGTAGTACCACTAGCCCTCACACAAAACGTGGCGAATGTGCATTTCAATTTGATCAGGTTGTTTACTAAATAAGAGTTTTCAGGCACTACTTAACCATGATACGATGAATGCAGTAAACTTCACGACTTTTCAAATACAACCCGGAATATCATGTCTGTGGGTTTTCTTGAGTTCTGAAAAATCCTTTCTGTACCCATGTGATATCTGCAAAAAAAGATGTAGAGAACGCAGCTGGACAAATATTAGTGTTTTCAGAACTCATGGTAGAAAAGACAACCACGTGGATTTCCAATTAGTAACGAAAATCAACCAGTCATACACTTGGCAGTTATTGCAGCACTTCAACCCCAGACTTCACATGGTTAATGATACCTCTACAACCGTAGGACTAATCCAATTTTTGGTGTCAAATGTCATGAACGGGTGACAGTCCAACTGGAAGCATTTGACACGTACCGATTACACGTTTTCGACTGCAATTGCCTTCACAGCATTGCTTACATATAGTGGAATCATTCTCTAAGCAATTTCGAAGTTCGACCCAGAGACTTGCTCAAGAAAGGCAAGTCAGTCGGTAGATTTATGATTCTTAACCGACAGAAGCGTCTTGGATGTGCTGCACTTGTTGGACCATCATCTCCCCCAATATGCAATGTTAGCCGAAGTAGGATTGGTTCAGAAGGTTGTGTTCAGATAAAGGCTTCTGACTGGTCTTAGACTCAATGTGGTGCGAGATGGTTAACTGACAGGAATCATTTAGATGATAGAAAATGATTGTAAGAAACTTGCTCAAAACAGATTACAATTATACAGGTGTTTTCACTCTCTGGCATCTTCAAAGCCTGCAACATTTTATAACCACCTATTTATACCGTTTACCAATACACATAGACATGTCTAACTTGAGATTTTTTCTGAAGACTTCTTTTTTTGCCCTTCAGTAGTATCTTGAGCTGGTGCACGTTGATCAGTCTACCTGTGCGACTTAACATTTGAAGTATGCAGTAGGTTACAGGTGAGCGGAATCAGTCATACAATGAACTGCAACGAATGAATTTATGTTCTAAACATTTCTAATCCATGTCCCATCATTAGCGAATGAAGACCTACATTCCAGGACATCATATGGCTTCTAAGAGTTAAACACTAGGACTACTCTAGTACCCTACTCTTGAACCACAAATCTACCAATCGTCCATATTAGTAGACCTGTAAGCTAGTTTGGAAGATGCCGAGTAAGGGGCAGTGGTTTGAAATGACACGCCTCCGAAGCGATACGCTAAGAAATTGACCACATATACGTCAGTACTAAGATGATGCAAGAACTCACCTTAAAATGCAGTGCACTGAAACCTGTCAACGATAAGTTAATGCCAGTATTACTGCAACTACGCTTAGACCAAACTTAGTAGGTTAGTGACCATGACACTATACAACGAGTCGGTATTATTCGTGAACTACAGGACGTGAAAGTGACCTTACCACAATGTGGAGAAAAAGCAAGGTTAGCCAATTTTGGACACTTCAATTCCCAAATTGACAAGCGAAGACACTCTTATTCTCAAGAATGCTGGGTTTCAAAGGAAAAACACTGGATCTCTTGGTGATATCTGCCACAAGGGAGAATGAATTCTTTGAATTTATGATTGTCAATGACGAAAACTGTGCCCAGCAGTCATCACTTTTTACCTAACCACTAAATAGGTGACACTGATTGACAGGTTACAATGCTTACATGGTTAAGCTCATCACATATACCCAAAAAGCTCTTAAAATACCCTGTCCACACCAAACTCTTAACATCCACAAATGTCGTCACAAACAATGTCTTTGTCCTCACTTACCATCATAACGCTCAGCCTGTTCACAGATTTTCGCGACATACACCTTATCCTCTCTTGCTTCATCCATAGTTGAAACCAAGTTGCGGTCAAACGGATGCACGTGCGAAGGCTATGGGTTGATTTAAACAAACAACTAAAGGTGACTGAATCGAAGAAATATTAGAAATTATTTATGCCGTCAGTTTAAATGTTTATGAACAACTTACTGTATTACCACCACGTTTGAAAGGCAAAATAGAACATACTCCACAAAGACACGTAGAACTTATCTGTTTCTACATCATGAGGTTCGAAGTATGAAGTTTCAAACCTTGATTAACCCTAACCTGGTGCAATGATTCAACAGAGTAGAACAGTCTTCTTAGCAATGTTTTCAGTTTTCATAAGTCTGAAGTGTCAAATTCCACTCATCGGTCCCCCACAAAAGTATTAGTATTTCAGTGGACACATTCAGCACCAAAATCCTGGATAGACAAATTGACGGTTGCATGAGTAGCAAAGGGAAACTCTTCAAAATCGGTAGCCTAAGATTTGACGATCGCCCTCATCATCAGTATATGATCAGGCATTATTGCGTAGTAGTCCAAGTTGCCACTCACCATCAACACATCTAGCAAAAAAGCACCAGGATGAAAAGTTAGTCAGTGGAGGAGAAGGCAGTAGATGTGGTAGGAAGTAGTGATAAGCTGACAAGGGAGCATAAGAAAATGCTGATTTCAGCATAACGATCGAGATGAGGATAATGTGTGAACGCATCCGCACCACTAAGACCGATTCATAGGTTCGCCACCTAGCCTCCAAGCCCTGGTTTCTGTCTTGTTTAGACTATTTTTAGTGAGGCGTCCAAGAGTTATAGATATCCCTTCATTTGCCTGCGGATGAGGGCCCTCCATGTTACGATAATAATGGTAATTTACTCTGAATAATAAATCACATGAGCACGCCATTTTTACAGGCAATATCTGGATGCCATTGTTCTCAGTGGGGCTGAGAAAATTTAGAAAGAAAAAATCGTCACACTGTACATAGCCTTTCAGAGCGAGCAACTGTTTGGACGTTACTAGCCACAAATATCAGGTGAAAACACTTTCGTTGCGCAACAGAGGCGAAAAGTAGCACAGGTGTTATAATTCAGTATGAGCAGCAGCATGGCAGTGGTGATCAAGCCTCAACACTTCAGTTAATAATAATAATAACAATATATATTTCATACAACATACGTTACACGAATACAAGCCAGTTTACAGGTTTGATCATTTTAGCAGTGAGAAATGACTATTATGTACCGTGTTAAGCTATACATTACATACCGTTAGTCATGGCATATAAGAGGTGTGCTGAAGCAGGCTCAGTTGGAAATTAGGAATTATTCGGTTGTTGTTCGAATCTTCCAATATTCTTGCAGGTGGGGCAGCATCATGGTCACTACCTTGAGGTGTGCGCATTCGTCATAAGGCTCCGATGTAAAGGTTCCCACTGACAAACGCGATTTCTAGGATTCCATTTGGATGCAGGACTGGTTAGGTAAACCTGAAAAGTGAATAACAAAAGCGAGCAGCAGGCAAAATTCGAAACAGGAGCACAAAAATACGCAGGATTAGATAAACCACAATATGTCTGGGTGAGTTCTTTGTACTGACTGCAAAGCTCACTTCAAGAAGTATCCAGAACCAACTGCTTAGAGGTAAGCTTTGGTGGAAAAAGATGAAGGTGCGCACGATGGTAATGAAAATTAGTCTGAAGCCGAATATATCACTACAAAATAGAGAGATTAGAGGATTTTGGACAAGGCATTCACTTGTTGTATACCTATGTACAAAAGTTTGATTAAGTTATAAACATTTAAGCAAAATTCATGGTTTTTTCCAAGATGGTAACCACCCTTTATTCAGTCACGGAGGGGGGATGATCATGGCGTTGCCTGTTGAGTATTACCATATCGGGGCTACCGAAACAATATGTTGGTGCGGAGTACTTACATGTAAGTACTGATAACAAAGGGAAAATAGTGAAACATGTTATGGAAATGCACCGATTAACAGTTCTCTAATCTTTTCGGAGTAGGGAGATTATTTTAAAGGGAGAACTTTGGGTAACAGGTATTAAGCCGCGAGATCACTTAGGTTATGAAGAAATGCAGGTAACATTAGAGCAGCTACTGAGTTCACTGTTGCAAATCGTATCACACTCCGCTTCCTGTTCACTCTTTATCATTTTTTTAAAGAAATTAGATTTTAACTTAAGTAATGCGTTTAGTTTTCGGCATTGTATACTTTTGTCGTTGCTGTTAGTCTCCCCTGAGTCTAGGCACCAGTAGCACCATCGTACATGGTATTACCGTCTCTGGTTTGGCCGTCAACGAATTGATGAAATTCGTTAGATGGGAGGAATTCACTAAGTAATCGTTGAAACTGGCGGAGAGATCGACACGCCCGTAAAGGAGCGGGAAGTTTTTTCCACAGCATACTGTATTGCGTTATGAAAAACCTACATCGAAGTTTTGAGCTACGCTTATTCATTGGGATGGTGTACTCGCTGTTACGCAGATCATATGCCTATGTTGATTTAAAGGTGATAACGCATTTCATTTTGGAGTTTCTAAATAAAAGGCGAAAAAGAAAGGTTAGGTTGAGCTTCAGGCGTCTCAGCCAGAGTGATTCTAGTTCTAGTTTTTTGCATCTTGCTTTATAAGGAAGTCCTTCGTTATGTATTAGTAGGCACCGAGTAAAGGTTCGTCGAATGTTTTCCACTCGAATTCCGCCCGATACTTTCATGTTACCATAGATAACCGTGCAGTACTCTAATATTAAGTGAGCCATATCCTTGGACAGTATAAGTTTTGCCTCAGGTGTGAGTATGTTTCTGTGTAGAAGACCAATGAGTCTTCTGCCTTCGGAAATTATTGAGTCTGCATACTCCGCAAAAGTCAAACCTCTGGAGTAAGTGATTCTGAGGTCTTTCACAGTGTTGTATATCTGCAGTGCGATGTCACCCAAGTGTAGTGTTACTTCTGAGTGGGATTTATTTTGGATGCCATGTGTTATGCCATTTCGGATAACACTGCAGATATCGTTTACTTAGATTAGGAAAAGTATCGGTCTTAGCTCACCACCCTGGATGACACCACTTTGTATAGGTCTAGGGGAGGAGTAGCAATTACTGAATTTTACCACTTGAAAGCGACCCTCTAAAGATGTTCTAAGCCAGGACAGTAACGGGCCTTGGAAACTATATGATTGCAACTTAGTGACCAGGCGTTTGTGAGGCACAGTACTTATCGAGTGAGTTGGTATTGACGGTTCACCAATGACTTTAATTTCGTCCTCTTGTGTAAAGCAGCTAGCAAACTGGTGACCGAGCAGCCCGCTGATTTGTAGTAGGTGGTCATAGAGGATGCCGTTGTCTATGATTAAACTAGGAGCACTATTTCTGGAGCTGCTTATCTGGGTTTTCATCAGTCTCACCAGTGCTCCTGCATTACTAGTTTTACTACATTGGACCATGGTGGAGCAGTAGTAGTTACACGTATATTGGGTTCGTTAGTACCGAAGAACAAGTAGAATAACCAGCAGTCACAGAAGGTTTAGCAACGACTTTTGTATCAAATATGACAGTTATTAGCAAGTGCTTCTTCACACTTCAGGTAACTTATATTGCGAAACTATTATGTCTCGAAACTAGCAGCGTTAGTTCGTAACTGAACTAAGTGTTACAGAAAAATAACTTTTCTTTAATTTAGTCCTCGTTTTGGTTTCCCTGTTTTCTCAGTAGTTTCTCGGGTTCCGCTGTGTATATCAAAATGAGTGTTTCTTTAACGTTCCAGAAGAGGCATGTGATGCTCAGAAATTTGAGTTTCTGAGAAAAACAGGCAATATATGCTCTAAGTCTTCCCTTTGTACAGACAGATCTACTAAACCGCGGAAATTACTGATGTAAAATACGACGTCATGCAGGAGCCAGGTAACGTAACTTTTGGTGCTCAAAAGTACTATGTCGAACGATTGATAACGTTAAAGTTATAGTATAACAGATCACGTGTAAACGTAACACAAGTTACGAACTCACTGCAGTGTAATGAATCGCATGATCTCTATGAGTAGGTAGTTTATCAGACGCTGAGCATAAATGAGGCTGAAAGTATGCGAATATTCAATAAGTTTGCGCTGTTTACAGAGAACATGCAAAACTGAATCTGAATTCTGAAATGGATGGAGGGTAACATTTTGGACCAGTGTTGTGCGGTGTTGTCTAGCATGTAACGAATGTTTGGGTTTATGTTGGTAAAAACAGACTCATTTAAACGAATAAAGCCGAACGTGTAACTCACCTTAGCAACTGTTGTCATATGTTGCATACTCTTTCAACTGTTTCGCTCACTTTGGCCATGTCGGGATGGGTCAGTTGTAGGGGTACACCAGAGGTAATGTTCAGTTATAGAGGGAGTGGTCTTGTTGTTTGTCACGCTGAAACGGAAAGATATCTTCAAAATTCTGTGAAAATGGTACGCGAAGAGTTGCTAAACAGAGGCATAGTTTGCCGATTCAACGTACCACAAGGCAGTCATCGTGGATGCCCACGGGAAAGGTTGATTGGAGTTGTTAGATGAGTATTGGGCTCTATGAATGAGGGATGGAACATGAATGATGAAGTGTTTGAGATGTTCTCTGGTGAGAAAGAGAGAATCTTAAGTGACAGGCCACTTCAGCTCCTTGGGGATGGGATGGAAGATATTATGATTCTGACCCCCATGCCCCTGAGAGGAAATATGCATTCCCAAACACATTAAACAGTAACAGGCCCTACTGTCAGAAGGCGGAGACGAGCGTGGTACTTCAGAGATGTGCTTCGGGAGAGATGATTGAAGGAGTTTGTCCTAGCTCCGTAAACGGGACACAACTAAAGAAACCCAACAGGGGCCTCCGAGATGGGGATGCAGTATTGGTGTCCGACAGAAGCTGTGTCGATGACTGGCCGTTAGGAGTGCCGAAGGGTCTCCAAGTCAGTAATGATGGACTGGTACGATCTTTTGAGTCAAGGATAAAGGGGTACTGCCAAGATATGTTCCAA